CGCGCTGCCGCTCGTGCTGAGATGCTTAGCGCCGCTGGCCTGGGCCCTTCGCCGACTGGGTCTGTCACGACGTCCCCTGCCCTGAAGCCTGAGCCAGAGCCCGTTGTCGAGCCTGAGCCGGAGCCGGAGCCTGTTGTTGAGCCTGTTGTTGAGCCTGAGCCTGAGCCTGAGCCTGAGCCTGAGGCCACTGCCGAGCCTGAGCCTGAGCCTGAGCCCGTTGTTGAGCCGGAGCCGGAGCCGGAGCCCGAGCCCGTTGTTGAACCCGAGCCCGAGCCCGAGCCCGTTGTCGAGCCGGAGCCCGAGCCTGTTGTTGAGTCTGAGCCTGAGCCCGCTGCCGAGCCCGAGCCCGTTGCCGAGCCCGAGCCCGTTGCCGAGCCCGTTGCCGAGCCCGAGCCCGTTGCCGAGCCCGAGCCCGAGCCTGAGCCCGTTGCCGAGCCCGAGCCCGAGCCTGAGCCCGTTGCCGAGCCTGAGCCCGAGCCCAAGCCCGAGCCCGTTGCCGAGCCCGAGCCCGAGCCGGAGCCCGTTGTCGAGGCTAAGCCTGAGCCGGCTGCCGAGAACAAGCCCCAGGTCAAGGCTGAGCCCAAGGTTGCTCCAACCAAGCCACTCTCCGGTATTGCGGCCCGGATTGCTGCTCTGAACTCCGGCGAGGCCGGTCCTTCCGGTGGGATTCCCACAGGTGGTGCTGCCCCGCCCTCCAAGATCAGCGCTCGGGCGTCCATGTTTGAGTCCCGTGCTGCTGAGACTACTCCGGCCCCGACTCGCGCCGCTGCTTCCTCCTCCGTGACCCCCCAATCGGAGATTGCCTCTCGCCTTGCCTCCCTGCGCTCTACCGGTGCCGCTAAGACCGAGCCCGTCAAGACCGAGCCCGTCAAGGCCGAGCCGGCCAAGACTGAGCCCGCGGCTGAGCGTCTGTCGCATGCCTCTCGGCCCGTCGGCCCCCGGGGCCGCCGGGCTCCGACAGCCGACGGTCTGAAGGAGCGTGCGGCCCTGCCGGCTACCCTGCCCCCGGAGCCGACCTCCTCGACCAGTGAGATCGATACCTCCAGCCAGAGCGATGGGTCGATTGCCTCGCGCGCCGGGATGCTCAACCAGTCGACCGGTGGCAAGCCGCCCGGCGTGCCGCCCGGCGCTTTCAGCATGTTCGGTGGGGCCCCCCCTCCGAGCATTGTCAGCCGGAGTATGGCCGCTGCGGCGGCCAGCGCCGAGGACGAGTCTTCGACCGGGGGCGGCGCGCGCAAGCCCTTCCGCCCGCCTCCCGGCGCCGTGTCCATGATGGGCGGCCCTGGGCTGATGGCCGCGGCCATGGCCGCCGGCGGGGCGTCGCGTCTGCGCCGCGCTGGTGGTGCTGGTGCCGACCGGCCCCAGTCGATGTTCGTCGATCCGGCGGCCTTGAACAACTTCCTGGCCACGAACTCCGCGGCCCCGGCGCGCAAGTCCACCCACGAGCCGGTTCTGGTGCGCCTCCGTGGGCGCCGGTCTCTGCCGGTGGTTGTCCCGCTGGAGGTGGCCTCCCTGTCGCATGCCGGGGTGTATGTCATGGTGGTGGATGCCGAGCAGGCGGTCTTCGTATGGCAGGGTGCTCGGTCGGCCCAAGTCCGCCGTGCCAAGGGCCTGGAGTTTGCCCACCGCGTCAAGGACCAGGACTACTCCGGTCGGGCGGTGGTGACCGTGGTGTCGGAGGGTGGCGATGGGGCGGAGTCTCGCCCCTCGCGGACCTTCTGGCGCCTTCTCGGGTCCGACTCGGCCAGCGGGCCGCGCCAGGTGGACGAGGCCCCGGCCTCCGGGCATCCCCTCGATGATGACGCGGCCTTCGACAAGGTCCTGGCCCTGGAGGATGGGGACCAGGCGCCTGCCGTGGATTCCGTCGATGCCAGCGGCACGGTGACCCGTGTGGCCACCGGCTTCCCGTCCTTCTCTCGGTCGCACTTGAAGGCCGACACGTCCATTGTGGTCCGGATCCCCGGGGGCGAGGTTTTCCTGTGGCACGGTCGTTCGGCGTCGGAGGAGCAGAAGCGCGCGGCGGCGGCTCATGCCACGTCGCAGCTGGGCTCCGCTGCCCCGGGGCGCGGGGTTCTGCTGGAGGAGCCGCGCGAGGAGCGGTGCATCTTCCGCGAGAAGTTCGCCGACTGGAATGCCCCGCGTCGGGTGGCGGCTGCTGGTGGCGGCGGGTCGGGTGCCGCCGGGGCGGCTGGCAGCGCGGGTGCCGCGTCGCCCATTGGTGGCGGCCTGGCCGCCGGCGAGTCGGTCTTCATCCCGCGGCTTCCGCAGCAGGGGAATATCAAGGCCGTCGACAAGACCTTCAAGGTGTATGATCGTGGCTCGGATGTCGGCAGCATCAGTGCCATTGACATCCCGACCATGATCAAGCCGGAGATCATCCCCTCGGAGACGCCGCTCTTCGACGTCCGTCACCAGGGCAAGGGTACCATCCTGCGTGTGCGTCTTTGCATTTCCCGCCGGTTCTTTGTCTTTTGGCATCTCCCCTGCGCCTCCTCGCCGCGTGCTGACCTGATGCGGTGTGCCATCTTGTGGCACCCGCCACCCATTCCGGCACCAGGCTTGGGCCATCGTCAACAGCGAGCCTGCCGAGTTGACCGCCGAGCAGATTGAGTCCTTCCGGGAGTTTGGTTCTACCGACACGGTGATCTTCCTGTTTGAGTTCCGCGCGCCCAATCGCGAGGGCCCCGGGGACCGTCCTGCCAGCGTCATTTACTACTGGCTGGGCTCTGGTGCCAAGACCGTGCGTGATGGCGCCCTTCTCCTCTGTGTCCCGAAGCATGCAGCCTGTGCCTGTGTTGCCGCCCTTATGTCTCCTCTGACTCTTGTGCTTCTCTCGCCCCCCCCCTCTCTGGATCTTTCCATCTCTTCATCTCTTCATCTCTTCATCTCTCCATCTCTCCATCTCTCCATCTCTCCATCTCTCCATCTCTCCATCTCTCCATCTCTCCATCTCTCCATCTCTCCATCTCTTCATCTCTGGATCTCTGGATCTCTGAATCTCTTCATCTCTGCGTCTCTCCCGGTGGATCCCGTTCCCAGGGTGACACCGGCACTGCGGCTCTGTTCGCGGCGGATCTCGAGCGCGAGCATGGTGCCCCGCTGATGCGCATCGTCCAGGGCCACGAGCCGGAGGACTTTGTGGCCATCTTCCGCAGCCGGATGGTTGTCCGCGAGGGGTCCTTCCAGGATGCCGACAGGAAGATGACCGCCCCGGGGTCGGAGGCCCGACTCTTCCGGGTACAGGCTGTTGGCACCGGGCGCATTTGCAAGGCCGTCCAGACGCCAACCACTTCGGCCGAGGAGCTCTTTACCGGGGCCTCTTTTGTTTTGCTGACGCCGCCGACCGGACCGGTGACGGCTCTCTCGGGACCGACGGTCACCGTGTGGCATGGAGCCGGGGCCTTTGAGTATGAGCGGACGGCTGCCGAGCGGATTGCCCGCTCGGCCAGTCTCGACGGGTCGATGACCATCCTGACGGAGGCCGACACGGCCTCCAACGCCGGGCATGCCTTCTGGTCCAAGGTGACCGGTGGTCACGCCTCCTTCGCCGGGTCGCTGGACTGGCAGCGCCCGCATGCGACCGCCAAGGCAGCCGCCTCGGCTGGCGAGTATCGCGTGCGGCTCTTCCGCCTTTCTCACATTCGCCACGGCAACCCCACGGTACGTGCCGTGTCCCTCCCTCCCCCGGCCAGTTGTGTCCCCTGTCCTGCGCTGTCCCGTGCCTCCCTTTCCTGACAATCTCCTCCGTGGTTGCCTGCCTTCCCCCCCCCCCTCCCCCCCGTGCGGATGCATTGCCGGTGACTCCTCGGCTATCTGCGCTGCCTCCCAGGCCGAGGAGATCGAGCCCTTCAAGCAGTCGGATCTGGCCATCGAGGGTGTCTACTTCCTGGATGCCTTTAGCCAGGCCTTTGTCTGGGTCGGGCGCGGGTGTGTGCAGACCATTCGCGACTTGAACCTGGCCATCAGCACGTCGCAGAACTATGTGGACCATGTGGAGCGCCATGAGGCTGGGCGCTTGTCGCGCGACCGGCTCTTCATGATCCACGAGGACCATGAGCCGGCCAACTTCCGGCGGATGTTCTTCAATGGGTGGCAGCCGTGGACTTCTTCGCGTGCTGGCAGCATTGCCCCGGTGCACATCGCCGACTTCGACCGGTCGCCGATGACCGTGGACCAGGTGCAGCGGGACTTCTTCGAGGCCAAGTACTCGCCGGCCGTCCTGATGGACTTCCTGCGCTTGCCGTTCGGCGTGGACCCTGCCAACCTGGACCACTACCTGAGCGATGCCGACTTCCAGGAGAAGTTCGGCATGTCGCGCGAGGAGTATGCCAGCCAGCCGAAGTGGCGCCAGACCAATGCGAAGCGCAAGTCCGGCTTCTTCTAAGCATGTGTGTGCGGGTGTCTTTCCGCGCATGGACCGCCATGTGCACTTCTACCCCTGTTCCTACCTGTGCCTTGCCTTCTTTTCTTCTTGCTGTTCCAAAATGCCTGTCTTCCCCCTCTGGTCCGCCTCCCCTCCAGTCCTTTTGCGGGGCGGTGGATTTGTGCGGGATAATATAACAGGTCATGTACATATACCTAAATCTCTCTCTCTCTCTCTCTCGGCACCTCGTTTTTTTTTCGCCAATGCTTTGATTATTCCTTTTTGTCCTTCCTCTTTCAGACTATTTGCCACCTGTGTTGTAATTGTGTGCAGGCGCTGGTACCAGCGGAGGCCACAGTCTCAAGGCATTCCCCGCGCATCTGTCATCTTGCACATGTATGCTGGGTGCCATCCCCTTGTGACCGTCTCCATATCCTTCCTCTTTCGTGAGGTGTTTCTCCTCGGCGTCCTCTCTCTTTCCCTCTCTCTCTCTCTCTCCCTCTATGTCCCTCCCTCTATGTCCCCCCTCCCAACCTCATCTCACAGCCGAGCATGCTGAAGCACATAGCACCAGAGGGGGGTTCTATTTGGCGACTCGCCATGTGCCTTCTCTCTCCTCCCTGTCATTCATGCCCCTTGTTGCTTGTGCGCGTACATGGTCGTTCGCTCGCTCGCTCGCACACATGCAAATGTGTTTCCTTGTCTTGGAGGCCGGCCAAAGAGGATGATCGTGAAGGCATGAACAGGGCAAGCGGTCTTTATTTTGCCCCTGGCGCCCATGTGGCCTGAGCGCGTCGTGCTCCACCAAGCACACCGGTCATGCCCCAACTCAGAACCACATAAAGTGGCCCTGGAGGTCGGTGGCCTGGCTGGAGAATGGCCCGTCCGAGCAGGCATGGTGGTTCTTTCCCGGGTAAACCACGGTAGCAACGCCGGGCTGGAGTCATTTTTCGTGTGTCAGAGAGGCGGGCTCTTGTCGCTGGTCTCAGGGCGGAGGGGGAAGATGTGCCCGTGAAGCCACCGGGGGGTAGACACTTGGGAAATGGGGCAAAATGGCAGGCACCGAACAGGGCCGGGCCCGGGGATGCCGGGGGCTATGGCGTACCTCCAAGTCCAAGCGCTGGCCGCCAATGCATACGTTGCGCGCGCGAGGCACATCAATCGGCAGGGCGGCCACGAAGCCGCGCGGGGTGCTTGCCCGCGACAAGTGGCCGGCGCCCTGCAGCTGAAGGGTGGGCGGCAGGCGCAGGACACGCGCCCACTCGACCATGTCACCGAGGTCGCTTTGGGGATCGGCCGGGCGGATTCGCGTCACGCGAGCCCAGCTGTCCTGGTGTTGGGTGTCGCCATCGGTCGACCGGTGGTGGGCGTCGGCTGCCGGCACGAGCTCCGTGTCGGCACTGTATACCCGCTCGGTATTCCCGTCAAAGGTGCACACGCGTACCGGGGCGGCATGGGGCTCCGGGAGCATGGGGAATGGCTCGGCCCGGTCGACGGCATACAGCTAGATCCGGGTCCCGGGAGAGGAGGCCCCCGGGGGGAGGGGGGGGGGGGAAACACGGATGAGGCACGCAGGCAATGGCATTGGGCGGTGCGACGTATGTGATCAAGAGCATGGAGACGCGAGGGAGAGGTTAGTCCCGGGGCACATGGGAGAGCGAGGCGGCGAAGGGGGGTGGGGAGGGGGGGGGGAAGCATGTCGATAAAGAACCACACCGCCGAGGAGGCAGCATGAGCAGGGCGGCAAGCCGGGGGCCCTTCCATCGTACCACTTCGCCGGAGTGCATGCAGCCCTGGCGGCCGACGATGAGGCCGGTTTGGTCGGTGATGATGGCTTGGCGGAGGATCTTCTCGGTGGGTTCCAGCTGCTGGCGCCGGCGCAGGGTCAGGTCGCCCATGAGGCGAACCTGGCAGGCCACCTGGCTGTTGGTGGCGGCCTGCCCGCGCAGGACCGACCGCCGATACTCGTAGTCCCCGCGACAGGCCAAGCCCCCGCCGACGTTGTGATAGCGCTTGAGCTTGGCGAAGGCGGCCGCACTGCGGGGCACCTCCACCACCAGGGCCCGGTCACCGGTGCCAGCCACCTGGGGGAGCGCCACCCGGTCGGCCCCCGGCGGCCACATGTAGACGATCATGACCACGGCCGCGGCCGACACCACGAGGGCCGTGACCAGGCGCTCGATGCGCTCCTGCAGCATGGACTTCGGGTTGACCCAGTGGCTGACGGCCTCGCGCTGGCGGATGCGCGCCAGCCGGCCCCGCTCGGTGGGGGTCAGGTGCGCCTCGGCCGGGTCATAGAACTGACTGGCGTCCGGCAGCAGCGAGGACACCACCCGGCCCGAGGCGTCCAGACACTGGCCCTCCGGGGAGATGCGCAAGGCGCCGTGGGTGCTGTTCGGCGCGGCGGGGCTTTCCGAAGTGGCCCCGGGGCGTCGGGCGGCCCCCGGGCGATTGACCGAGGCCGAGCTTTCATCCAGGCGCAATGTGTCCGTGCTGGTGAGGCCCGGCAGCGAGGCGTCCGGGGCGATGCCCTCCGCTCGAGCGGCAGTGCTGGCGGCCGAGAGCGAGGCTGTCCCCTTGCGGGAGGCTTGCGAGCGGCCCTTTTGCACGGAGGTGGAGGTCCCCTCGTCGAAGTCCGTGGCATGGCTGGAGGGCGACTCGCCGCCCTTGGTGGAGGTCCGCGTCATGGCTGTGCATGCGTGGGCGAGTGGAGGCTGTCAGTCGGAACCACGGAACTGACCGGCGGCCGGGCGCGCGGTGGCCGGGGGCGACAGAGTGTGCATTTGTCAGTCGATGCCATACCTGAGCGGGCACTTGGTGTGCTGGGGCTCTTGCTTCGCCAGAACGAGCGCTGACTGGTGGTGGGAACTGTCCGGCCGGGGGGGG